CCTCGCCTATAAGATGCCTACCCCAGCCTGTCATTCCCTTTGAGGCTGCGCCTGAGGCCAAAGCCACTTTTTCCCACCCTCTCGCTGAGAATTTCACAAATTTGAGGAAGGGAACGTACTGGTCAAGTGTTTCAGGGACAGAATAGAAGCCTACAAAACAGAGAAGTCTGTTTCCAGACTGAAGGGAAACTTTCAAATACTGAGCTCTCCAGCGGCGAAGGCTGGGATAGGCCAATTTGCCTTTGATACGACTCAGTGCAGGTGTAGCTTGAAGAATGTTCTCTTCACCTTGAAAAATCACTCACCTACTTGTGATGACGTTTTAGCCTTAAAGAAAATGGCAAATAACACAGTAAGAGTAGAATTTCATCGCCATTGCCACTTAGAAAAAGAGCAGTTTCTTTTGTTTTTATTCCTCTAGCTGCTTTTAGGATTCCTCTTGCAAGTGTGTACTTCTGAATATTTCATCATAATGATTTCTCTGAATAAAATATTTATTACCATATGTACAAGCAACACACATTACAGATGTGGTAGCTAATCATGATAATAGTTTAGAAGATATTTGCTCGGTGTCATTTTGACTAATAACGTAGGCTAACTGTTCTCCACGGTTAACAATGTTTTGCCTTTATGAGCTCCACAAAACCTCCTCTGGCAGAATTCTTGACAAAAGGATTAGTTTCAAATGGTATAAGACTCCCTTGCTTGTTCTCTAATGATTTTGTCATGAAATTTTATTTTTTTATAGAAATGAGAAGTGATTTTAATATTTTCTTTCTATCTACATGTATTGAATTAAAATAAATAAATAGGCAGGGAACCCTTAAGCATGCCACACTAAGACCAAGGCGATGTGCTTTTTTTATTTCTTGTGGTTTTGCTCCACTTGCTGTGGCCCTGAGTGAGACTTTGAGACACAGGAAACCTCCTTTTCCTCAGAAAGAGAAAATGATCCCTGAAGCCTCTTTCAGCTCACTCACAGGCAGCTGTGTCAAATCAAGGGCACAGAGAACCCCACCGGTGGCCCGTTCTGCGGAGGCTGCCTGTGTTGTGAATGTCACCGTATCCCACCACACACATCAGCTGTGTCCTCAACTGCATATACACAAGGGCGAGTCACAGCTTTAAAAATAATTAAACAAATATTTCCCCTTCTACGTTGTTATCTCCTTTTACTCATAACATCCCACCTCGACTTACATACACAGCCCGTCTCAAATTTTCTACCCTCAGTTTTTTCTTCAACCCAATCTTGTTGTCACTTGTTGCCTCATTTAAATGCCCTGGCTAGAATCACTGATGCCTTCCTGCTGCTCCAGCAAAACTGCACTCTTCAGTTCCAAATTGGAACACTTCTCACTCTTACTCAGCCTCCTTTGCTAGCACGCACTCTTGAGTTTTAAATGTTGGATTTCTTGAGAGCTCTGTCCAAGACCCTGTTTATTCCATATTCACTCTTTGGTTAACAGCACCTATTTGCACAGCTTTCATCTACGTGCCTATGACTGTTAAATTTATATTTGTACCTCAAACCTCCACTCTGAAGTCTAAACTTATACAGAGGTGATTAAAATATATGGTGAATGTTTAAAATAAAAGGAATCTATTACAGTAAAAGGCCTGGTGCCTCAGTTGCTGAGGGCGCTGTCAGTGAGGAGGGTGCAATGGCGGACGCGACTTCCGCTTCTGCTCAGTTGCTGCGCTCTGAACCCCAGTGCACCCCCTTGCAGAGATGGCCTCCGTCCTCCCAATGACTGCAGCGGGGATATCACTAAGGCTTTACTTCTCCTTCTACCAAATCCTGTTTGCTTTCTCCAGAGGATGGAATAAAGTGAAGATAGATGAACAAAATAGCAAAGTTTTAAAGATGTTAATGCTTAAAACAGAGCCCGACACCCAGATTCTATCTAAGCGCGGAAGGTGGAAGGCACAACTTAGGCCAGCTGCTGAGGGGAGGCGCTGGGGAAGCAGCTGATGCTTGGGGGCTTGGGGTTGGATGACGGTCAGCACAGCTGCAGTGAGGGTCTTGTCACTGCAAGTGGCACTCGGACATCTGTGGCCACAAGGGGATGGCGAATGTTGAAACTCCATTGGTGAGTCATGAATGCCCCGGGGAAAGGTGGATAGGCACTGTTTGCTGTGAGGTAGCAGATCTTTCAGAAAAATCAGACAAAGAGTAATCCTAACAGCAAGGAGAGTGGATGGCTACTGTTAAACCCATAGCTGACCTAGAAAGAAGGTGATGACTAGCTGCTGGCCACTAAAGCACGGAGGGGAACTAACAGATTTCCTGATAGTTTATAGAAACGCTCTTGTGTATGAGGAAGGCAGAGCAAGATGAGCACCAGGATTTAACAGAACTGCAGGCAAGGGTACGAACTCAGTCAACACAGGCGGTTACGCCCAGGTAAAAACCTGCTGGGAAGTAAAGAAGGGAACTGGACGCTTGGAAAGAGAACATCTGGGTGAATGTCCCTGAAAATTCTGAGCTCCAGAATCTTCTGATCGCTGAAAATGCAGACCATCTTCTCTGCTTGAAGGAATGCCGAGTCCCCTTCCTCACAAAACAGGCTTTCACCCGGAGGAGTTGCCCTTACCCGTTGCTATGGCCAGCAACACAGAGTTAAAGCTGAATACTGCGTAGCCCCGCCAGGGACCTGCCGAATCTAACAGCCTCTGACAGCCTGAAGAAGATGCATCGGCAGGCACTGGAAGAGAACCTGGGGCCCGAATTCTGAGCGCGCTCACACCAGCCCAGATTGGTGTGACGCAGGATTTAGTAAGGAGGTAAAGACTCCGGGAGATGGTGCACAGTCACTATAAGGCGATTCCTAGAAGCATGAAAAAAGGATGCCCAAAGCTAAGTGAAGTCAAAATGTCAGAGTGCTACAGCCAATGGTGGATGGATTTAAAAAACACCCACGAGAACCGGCACGCAGGACAGAGTCGGTTCCACCGCAGCCTACGAACCGCGCCTCGCAAGGCCCTAACACGGCTGGCGTCAGTACGTGATGCTGGGCGTGCAGCGCAGAAACCCAGGGCTGACGGAGAGCGCCTCTTAGTGCGAAGCTCACGGAGAGCAACAGGGATGATCGGATGGAGGCCCCCAAAACCAGCTGGCGGCATTTAGCTGCCCAAATCCAGGGGCATGGAGTTGCTGTGGTAGGGGCCAGAGCGGGAGAAGAAGCCCAGTTGTCTGGGCACCGCAGAGATCCACTCGGGCGCAGAACTGGCTCAGTCCCCCAAGCTAGCTATGGACCGCAACTGCTCTCCACCTTGGGAAGGAGTGGTGAGAGAAAATCTTCCCAAAGAGCAGCTTTCAGCGGTGTGCTCAGCTGTCTGTCATCCACACGCCTTTACCCGCCTCTGCGGTCTGCCCTCCTTCCAGCACTGAGGCCTTTTCCTACTGCAAATCTGCTACTGTTATGTTCATCTCACGCCATTTCACCTTTTGTGAAATTTAGTCCAAAAAACACCAAAAAACTGGTTAACTTTCCCTCTTTGAGCCACCCCATTCACGTTCCTAACTCTAGGCAAAGCTTGCTCCTAAGTTGAACTCTTGTTGCATTTTATTTTTATATAGAATATTACTGAGATAATAGAATAAGTGGAGAATCATCATTAACAAAGCCGAAAGTTGACTAGTATAAGAATAGAGTCCTTGTATCTTTCTTATAGAATAAACCTTACAGCATTGTTTTTCTTGGTTGGCACCCCATTATTCTTTCAAAGCCCTTTCATGGCTTTGCTTTCTAAAACATTTTAAAATCCTTTGTGAAGGATGATTTTAAAAAGAAGGCTGCAATACCTATTACAAAATAAATAACATTTGGTTGGTTTGAAAATTATTACTTTTCAAAACAGTCAGGCTGATAAAATCCTGGACTGCTGACAAATGCACTTGTCATACATTTGTACATCAGAAATGAGCCCAACTTTCATTCAATTTTAAAACACAGCTCATGTTCTAATTAACTGTGAGTCACTACTTCTGAACTACATTTTTGTAATTACTTTCAGTTGGTGATTAAACTCATTTTAATTAATCATTGACGTTCAAATGATTTTGCAAAGAATTTGGCCTGATGTCTTCAAAATTTTTTCACAGAATTGTGTATTCTATTACCATTGTGGCAAAAATGTAATTCATGTGAATCTTTTATCTTTGCTAAAGATAATAAAAATTAATTATATTATCAATGGTTAAAAATAACATATGAAATAGTACAGAATTTAACAATAAACAAGCATCAAATGGTTATAATTTTCAAACATTTTGAAGTAATGGTTACTTTGAAAAGAGCAAGTTTTAAAAAACAAGTCCTTTTAAGAGTGATTGTTTCAAGCAATTTGGTAGGACTTATAAAATAAAAATATGTGGAAAATGTTAAAATGATCATAAATGTGTCAAAGTCTATGGCATTGTGTTCTGTTTTCATTTCATGAATAAGAAAAGTCCTTTTAAGGACGTAAAAGAAAGCTAACACCTGGATTTTCCTATAGGCTTGTGGTGATTATTTGTGAAAAAAATGCATAATTATCAATTATCTGGAAATAATACACACACACACACACACACACATATTAGTTTTGTTTTGTGTTTTTGAGACAGGATCTTGCTATGCTGTACTCCAGGCTGGCCTTGAACTTGCAGCAATGTTCTTGCCTCAGTCTCTCAAATGTGGGGTTTACAGGTGTGAGTTACCATGCCTGGCTCTGTATTATATGTTATTAAATGAAATATTTGAAAGCAGAGAGTTGAAGCAGGGAAAATCTGTATCTTTATGAAAAATGTAATTAAATGTAAAATAGGCTATGGAAGTTCTAGTAAGCTGTTTTGTTGTATAAGCAATGGGGTACTTTAAGTGCAATGACTATTCATAGCCAACTCGGCAAAATAACAACAGAGAATATCATCTGCATTTACAAAGAGTGTATATTTTTTATGCTCTAAAAATAAAACATTTTTATATTCAATATCCACATATATTGATAGCAATCAAAAAAACTTTTTCACAGTTGCACCCCTTCCATTATGAAAGATGGTGCAGTACTCTTTGAAGCATAAGATACAGGTTGTCTTGATAGATAACATTTTCGTCTGACTTTTCCCATGTAATTATTACATCTTTTAGACACACTAAGATTAGTTATATTCCCATTAACAATGAGCTTTAAATCCTCTGGAAGTGAAATGTTTGATCCCCTACTGTCTTCGCTCACTTTAGTACCACGGGTCCTCTCTCCATTGTGGTGAACATGTTGAAACCCTCTGATCACCTTCTGACCCAGACCACTGTGGTATTTTTGACCACCACGTGGGCTTTCCATGGCAGTGTGACATTGCGCATGCTTAGGAGCAAGGGAAGGGAGAAATATTTGAGATGATATTTTCCCAAGTGATCCACTGGGCAGGTCTTGAAGGTACCTGGGGAAATGCTGGCTGATTTTATATTCATAGAGTAATTTTCTTGACTTTGAATCATCTAATTTGACTGAGCACAGATCGTCTATTGTTATATCCTGATAGACATTTGTTGGACCTTGAAGTGTATTCAGTTTTTCAGAATTACTCTGAGGAATGCTACGTAAAAATCCAGGTCTGTTTTGTTTTAAAATTAATCCGGTACCAGGAATGAGAAGTTTTGGCTCTTCCTGCTTTGACAGATGCGTGATGTCTATGTTTGAGGCTGGTGGGTGTGCCTGCCCATGCACTGCTGTGCTTTTCCAGATTAAAGGGCTATAAATGACCAGTCCATCAATAGGGCATGAGTTGCACTTGTGGAACAACCAATTGTCAATGCATTTCCTATGAAACTGGAAACAACGGTTACAAGTTAATCGGAGACATAGTGATCATGTTTTAATCTGTGTTATTTATAGAAATGTCCCCCAGCATCATAACTGTGTATTAGAATTATTTAGTAAAACAGAAGGCAATTCTGATATATCCAGTCTTATGAAAATATTTTGAAATTCACTTATAAATATAATAGACTTACGGAGTAATCGCCATTTGCAACATTAAAAGCAAAGACATGTATAGGTATTACCTTTGTAATTTTATTAAACATTCACTACTTATCCAGATATTAATTGCATGCTACTTGCTTTTAACAAATGAAAATTATTATCATGATTTGTAGAACTGGACACTGAACCCTGGGGCACTCTTTGAGCCACATCCCTACCCCTTTTTATTTTGAGGCAGGGTGTTGCTGAGTGGCCTAGGCCGGCCTTGGACTTGAGAGCCTTCTGTCTTAGCTTTCTGAAAAGCTAGGATTAAAAATTATTTAAAAATTATTAAACACTAAAGTTGAAAATGGATCTGATGACAGTGAGATACAAAAATAAATCATATTTTTTTGTAATAAATGGAACTATCAGCCACTACAAATAAGGGTGACACTAGTGCTACAAAATACATATTGAAACAACTTCATTTCTGGAAAAAGTTATCAACTATGTAGCAATCAAGCAATGTTAGACTTTGTTTCTAGTAAGTTCGTATACAATAATTATGTCAATTTAGGGATTTCTCTTTCATCTAAAAATACATACCAAAAAGTGTTCTACTGCAGAGGACTGTAATATTGATTATCCCCAAGGCAGGTGGTGAAGAGTGAACCCCACAATTGGCTGTTTATAGAGGTGAGTCTGGACAAAGCCTTAAGTGCCGAGGTCAGAGTAACTCGCACCCAAAGCCCATTCCCACAACTAAACCTTCAGATTAGAAGGACAATGTTCTAATTACAATCATATATTTTGTCTATTTTGTTCCTAACCTGAGAATGCTTTGTCTTATACTTTACGAAGTGTGTTTATGTTAATTTCCACAGAAACTGCACAAAGCTAGCTCTCCTTCACCCCACTTGATCGTCAGTAAAGTCAGTGCCTGGGACTGGCCAGTGCCTTTGTCAGTTGCACCGGCAACTTTGTCAGTTGGTTGTCCTTCCACCCCACTTTCTCTTTCTTAGTTCTCTCTCTTAGTGTATTATTTTTCTCAGGCCTGTGTCGCACACTGGGCAGGTGGGGACTGGAACCTGACTGCAGGGGCATCGAGCATTCCATAAGCCTTCTCTTTTGTTGAGCAGATAAAAGGATCTGTCTTTTCTATGGATGGAAAAGAGCCCTAATCAATGGGAATAGACCAGAGGGTGGAGCTATGGCCCTGTACTCCGCAGCCACTTGTCCACATCTGCTGTGCAAACTGAACTCTGTACAGGGCACAAATAGAAAGTGGAAGGAGAAACTGAAATTGTTACTTCAGTTGTGAAAACTGGCCATTTCAGGAACTTTACACTAAAGCAATGTGACTTTTACCCTGTGGGAACACGGCAGCAGTCTTGAATGTTGACCAAGATGAAATGACTTCAAACACAGCCGACATTGGCAGCCTGGAGCAAGCAGCTTGCTGTTCTTTGTAACCAGTAGGAGAGGGAGGGACCTCACCACGTGTTTCGGAGTGCAAACCTGGCTGAAAGACAGTGAGCAGAGACAATGAGTGATGACAGATCTGGAAGAAAGCACAGCATGATCTATGTAATGCAGCTGAAGGAACAGCTTTCCTGAACTGAAGAAGATCCATGTCATTCACCACAAAGGGAAATACGGTATCGACCATGCATGGGACAGAGCCAACTTCACAGCAGCAAAGATTAATTCGGTCGCATCAAACAAAAATACTAGTGTATATGATTTGTATTTTAATGTCAATAAATCCAGAACAAAATTTTGATGAGTACTATAGACTCAAATCATGTCAGTGTGGGTCAAACTTCTAAGCAAGTGTTTAGGAAAACACAATCTAACTCCCTTTCACAAGTGATAGACGGTGAGGTCCTGGTAAGCCACACTGACTATTTCATGCTACACTGGTGATTGGCATATCATAATATTGAAGAAATCCGTTTTTGCTGGGGTACGTGCTCACCACAGCATTGTTAGATGACCTTACTATAACCTTGGAAATGGTGACCGGCGTAGCGAACATGTTACAGTGTGAACCAACTCATGTTTGGCGCCATTAGCAACTGGTCAAAACACAGTTTCAAAAACAAACTCAGTTGAAAGATCAGATGCATTTCTATATTCAAAAATTACTCAGAACAAAGTTCACAGATATTCTTCTGAAACATTTGTATTTCTCATTACTTTACAGATACATCATCATGCATGCAAATTTGCTTTCATCAAGGTTATGTAATTTCATTTAGATGTGTATTTTTAGTACTATTAGGGTTCCTATCCACTTTTTTAATCTTAAACTTCTTTCCTTGTTTCTTTCATTTTCTTTATTTCCTCCTTCCCCTGATGTTTTCTCTCCCAGCTCTCCACCTGTCAACGTCTTAACTCAGCTTAGTTGTACAATTTATTCCAGAAGAAAGCAGTGTGATTCTTCATCAGGAGACAGGAAGTGCAAAGCCTTCGAAGAGAATCGTTTCATGCTCCATGAGAGCTCTGATCTCCAAAGTGTGTAGGGAACCAGGGGGATGGGCTCTACTGCCACTGGGGTTGGATAGAAACTTGCCTGCATGTTTGTGGTATGCAGGTGTACTGTACACGGGTCTACACATTTAGTGAGCTCAAGTAGTTTTCGTTTGGCTAGTTCATTAAAACTTAAAAAAAAAAAACCCTTCAGTTTTACCTCATCTTTTTAAAATGGCCTCTTTTGCATACGTCTTATAATCCACATAATCTGTTAACACACAGTTAATTTTCTGTAATTGACAAGAGTGAGACTGAAGTTCTGTAAACAACCCACTCAAGGTTCTGAAATGTGACCAATCTGCTCAGTGTTCTTATTCCATGGGCAGGAAGTGGTCGGTAGAGTAAGAGGGGGAAAGAAGTGGCAAATTCTTCCTGCAGCTGGAGGACAACTGTCACACAGGGGTCTCTTGATCATCTGGCAAACATGTTAATTTCAACTTGACATTTATGTAGATGATTACTAAAGAAAATACTGTATCCCCAACACTACTACTATCCTTGATGGACTAAATTATGATGCAGATTACTGGAATATTTTCTCGGTGTAGTAACTCATTTCATACTCAAAAAATTCATAGGAGGTTGGTCTTTTGTCCTCATGCTTAAGATGAACAAAGGTGGCAGAGAGAAGTGATGCAAGTGGCCCAAAGTTCCTCACAGACAACATGTGGCTGAACTCGATGGGACCTACGCAGTCTGATTCCATTCTATAACCTCATGTAGTATCTCGTAAATCAAATCAAAGAATAAAATAATGTATTCAAACTGAAAAACTATTCAAAGATCACAAGTTAAACAAGAAATGCAAATTTTACTTAGAACCTCACCCTTGCTTTTCTTGATAATGTGGCATCTTTTCTTCTATCTTACTTTTGATATTTGAATATGTTATGTCTTCATGTGGTTCTTTTTCTAGCGATCTCCATCTTTGGTTTCTCTTCTATAACAGGTAGAAAAGTAGATGTTACCTTGCAAATCACGAAAATTTTTATTTTGTAAATTAACAAAATAATAATCTACTTATCAATTGTATAATAATGTGAAAATACTATTTAAAAACATACCTATTCCGTTTTTTTTTTCTTTTTTGTTACTGGGGATTGAACTCAGGACCTTGCACTTGCGAGGCAGGCACGGAGCCATTGAGCTAAATCCCCAGGCCTATCCCTTTTTAACTGCATTAAAAATATCAAATAATTATCAGATCTCATGTACTACTGTATACCTACTATAATGATATTACTTTTTAAAGTAAAATTATTAATGATATTGAGGATATTTTATTTTATGTTGTACAGTTAAACAAACTTGGCATTATTTTTCAGCACTGCAAGGTACTTTAAGTGTATAGTTCAAATTATATCAATAAAGTTCCATGTTTAATTACTGTTGGTGGAAGAAATTTTAAGAGAAAGCATAATGATTGTCAGTCCTGATAAGCCAAATTATAAAGCTGAGATCTTTTATTACTAATTTACAATTTTTGCCTATAATTCCTGCTTGCAAGATTTGCTTATAATGTCATCAGATGCTCGCTGTTTTGTTGGATTTACAAATTACCAGTAAAGAACTGCTTGCCTGTGCACCTAGGCAAAATGAGTTCTTTAAAAAATATCCTTGTAGGTTTTCATGAAAAATCAACCAACTTTGTCCCAAAGAATTATCTATTCTTCACATTCTTAGGTTTACTTAGTTTTACAACAAGACAAATCCAAATGCTCTATTAGAGTCAAGGCTGAGACTGTACCTCGCGAAATGCGAACGTGTGCGGGGCGTGGCCGCAGCTCTCAAAGCATTCCTGGCATAAGTGGAATTCTATACATTCCGTGCACCTGGAAATGCAAACCCCGAAACATGCAAGAGAAAATCCAGTTACTGTCATGCTTTCAGATGGAGACTTCTGATCCTAACCAGACATGACACGGCCCATTTCAGGTCCCATTGTGTACTGGTTTCTTATCGCTGCTGCAAAGCATTCACAAATTTATGTGCTAAAACAATGCCAACTTACTATCCTATAGTTGTGCGAAGAAATGTCTTACGTGTGTCTATGGCTACAAACAAGAGGCTAGCAGGGCTGTGGTAGTCTTATGAGCCTCCAAGAGAGAATCCAGTTCCTTGCTTGCCTTCTAGAGAGGAGACACATTTCTTTCTTTCTTTTTTTTTTTTCAGCTTTAATTGAGTTTATTGGTACATTTTAGGGATACAGTACGCATTTCTTTCTTAACACAAGGTCCTCCGCTCACCTCCAAAGTGAGCTACTAAGAATCTCCCTGCCTTTCTTCCCTTACCACATTTCGCTCTGATTTTCTGGCCTCCACTTCTATTAACAATTATCCCGGAATGTCCAGACCAGGAGAGCCTCCTTATTTCAAGGTCATCTGATTGGAGACCTTAATTCCATCTGCCACCTCCTTTCCCCAAGTTGTGTGGCCCGACACACAGGTCTGCACACAATGATGAGGGCCTACAGGACTTGCAAGACCAGTGTTCTGCTCACCATTCCCTTTCCAGGATACCTTTCTAGACTAAAGTAGCTTTCCATCACCTCCTTCTCTAAATTCCTACAGGATCAACAGCCTACTAAGTATTCTCACATTTGATTATTCAGTGTTGCTTTCTATTTTTTTCACAAATGCTATAATTACACTTGGCAGATTATGACTTAAAGTTGGAATTACATTCCTTTTCTTTCCCCACAGAGTGAAAAAAGGTAGAGATAGAAAAAGTTTCAATAAAAAACAATGAATATGCTTTTAAAAATTTAATTTTCCTTAAAAATCCCAATGTTATGTTTATGTCATTTATAAAAAATTGCCATAAGCGCAGGGTTTTAATTCACTTGGTATAAAATTTATTAAATAACCTGAGCAGTACTCAAGTAAACTTATTTTTAATGTATATTATTAAAGATCTATAAGGCTATTTTCATGAGAAGTGAGGAAAAATATGTCCTTCAGACATTTTACAGTCAAGTGCTAATTTATTTATCATTACTATTAATATACGCACAGGGAAGATTCTTAATAGTATCAATAGGTCAGCTCAGTGCTGCAAACTATTTGATATATTAAAGAATCCTGAGCTAGAAAAAGATGAGCGTCTCCATACTTTCCTGTATGTCTGATATTTTTTGAATAGACAACTGAGAGAGTAAAAACAGCTGTATCAATAATCTCTAAGGAAGGAGCTCAGAGACTTTCTAGTTCATCCTTTCTCCTACTCAGCCTATTTCTAAAAGTACTGAAACTAATTCTGCAGGCTGACGACCAGGAAGTCAGCGCTGCACTTGAGGGGCAGGGAGGAAGATGGCATCGTAAACACTGCATGCCCGTTCTTTGCTTTGGAACACAGGGACATGATGCCAGTGAATACCTGCTAGCCAAGTTGTTAGTGGGGGAGTGGGGACAAGTTCTGGGAGAGGGGACTGTAAAGGAGCGTCAAGGACAGCAGAGGGGTGGAGGTGTATTGAGGCCACAAGAAAAACCCAGCAGGACAGAAAGAGTAGTCGAGAGCCCAGAGCAACAGAAAAGCACACTGTTAAGACCTAAAAGCAGGCCTTACTATCTCTGATACAATCCACCTCAGTCACACTTGCCTGTGTGAAGGTTACACAACCACAAGGGTGAGAACTCGATACTGTGGCCCTCAAGTGTCTCTGTACTGCAGAGCTGTGGGACCCAAATAATGGCTGCTATCGCCAAGGGTCAAGTCCTTCTTTGTCCTAGAATCCTCCTCAGCAGACCTTCCCCTTCCCGAGACCAGCTGGACTCCCCCCAACCCCAACACCTGTAAAAACTCTGCCTTCATAGGAAGAAAATGGCTAAAAGGGGAAGTGGGAAGGGGAGGAGAAAGGAAATAAGGGAAAAGAAAAAATGTGAAAAAAGGAAAAAAAAAATGGAAACAGTCTTTGTAAAAAGGGAAGGGTGAAGGGGCTGAAGGGAGGGCAGGGGAATGGGGATAAAACAAGAACCAAGACATCATGTAAAGGTACAAGACCCCAGTGATAAATGTAACTGTACTGTTTGCTTTAAATGTACCAATAAACTTAACGGGGGAAAAAGAAAAACAACTCTGCCCTTCCTCCTCAAGTTACTGTGCTTCTTTGGCATCTTTGCAGGCCAGCTCTTTTCCTAAGACTTTTTTTGTTTTGTTTTTGGTACCGGGGATCAAACTCGGGTCCTTGCGCTTGCAAGGCAGGTGGTGGAACCACTGAGCTACATCCCCAGCTCCCTAAGATGTTTTCTCAATGATTAATTTCCCTCTGTGTGACACATATGGAAAATGGAAGGCTAAATTCAGAGGTGAAAGGTACAATTTGCTGTTGGGGATTACAGAAAAGTTTTGTTTTTATGAGAAAGTTTAACGTGCATAATTTAAATTGTGCTCATCATACTGTAATTCTCGAAAAACTGAAAAGCAAGCAGGTGTATTTTAGAAGAATTTTTAAAAATTGAAAGAAAATATCACCTAACTTAAAATTTTAATTAAGAAAACATAATTTCCCAGGGAACAAACTGATTTTTTTTCAGCTTCAGGGATTGAACTCAGGACCTTGCACTTGGGAGGCAGGGGTGTCGCCGCCACTGAGCTAAATTCCAGGTCCAATAAACTGATTTTTAATTGTGACAATTGTGGGAAAGCAGTGAAAATTGCTATATTAATTATGTCACTTTTGTTGTTATTGCTGAGTTGTAAAATATGAAAGAAAACACAAATCGCATTTATTGTAATTAAGACTTTTTGGAATTGATGGAAAATTCAGTCAGTCTAGTCAATGTCCCTCTGGTTTAATCTTAACAGATTTTGCCAATGACCTCACAGGTTGTTCAAACAAAGTGAGAAATCCAGCGAGACACCGAGCGTGGCTGTCATCGAGGACAACACGACAACCTGTGTCCGGTGCCCTCCCGGAGTCTCAGTGTGGAAATCCCACGGAAGCTACTGTCAAATAAGGCACTCACAGCTTCTGCAGGAGGAAGAAGCCCGTAATTTTACTGGTGACGCTTACTTATAACATCTTCCCTTTATTGGAAACTGTTTGCAGCTGTTACAGGGGATTCCAAGGTGTTTGTCCAGCCGTTCTTTCTCAGCAGCAGCCACAAGTTTGCATGAGTTTTTGAATTCTTCCAAAATCACTTTCAGTGGTGCAAACTCCTTCCTGCACAGAGGACATTTCACCACGGAAGAGCTGGAGGTCATATTCTGGTAATTAGCCAGGATCTTTATGCATTTGATATGAACATTATTGCCACAGCCAAATCTATCAGGAATAAAATTCAAGTTGACCATTTCTGTAGAGAAGTTTTACATACACATTGTATCTATTTATATATCCTAAACAGCTTTATAAATAAGAACTTCTTGTCTAACACTTTTATTTCCCATAAAAAGACTGAGAACTGATTTTCTGGATATGGTTTGATTTCACACACACACATGCACATAAGTGTAATTTACCATATTTAATTTAGCATATCAAAATCAACAAATTTTTTTCTATTCCAATGAAATAATGAAAGATTTTGGACCATTAAAATATTACTATTTGTAAAACGACAGTGAATATCGTCTCAACACAAAGAAACATAATGATGCCACCTGATTTTCTTAGAAATTACACACTGCTAAAATAAATACTTAAGAAATATCTGCTGGAAGAAATAATATTTGAGGAAGTCATTAATGATCTTACAATGTGCAATAGCAGCAGCCATGTGAAAAACTACAAAATTTTGTCAGATAATCAGGAGGAAAAATAACAACGAAAATGTCACAAGTTGCTGCTGAGGTTTTCTGAAGTCCAATTTTAAAGAGCCACGAAGAATACGAAGAACATTACCCATTTTTGTGTAAGTAAAATTTTGAACTATTTGGATTTAAAGATAGGATTTTTAAAAACTGAAAAGAGTATTTCCATTTTGAAGTAAAATAATCTCTACTTTCAAAAAAAATTCTGTAACTACCCTAACCTATGTCATTTATTCATGTGTAGAAAACAAATACATGAAAACTATCTTACTTACACTATGTAAAGTGGAGGGAAAATAATTGTGAGGTAATAGTTTGAATTTTCAACCTTAAAATATAGGCCGGAGGGCCGGGGATTTAGCTCACTGTTTCCAGCACCAGCCTTGCAAGCGTGAGGACCCGAGTTCAAATCCCAATACCTCCATCAAAAAAAATGTAGCCTGGAAATATTCAGAGTGAGGGTAGGACCTCCCACAAGATACATGTTGGGAAATAAAAGAACATTAAGAAAATATAAATTGCTCATTGCTAAGACTTTCTACTTCTTTCTATCGAATGTCTCCTCTCATCAGTTATAAACAAGTTAAATGAGATGTTTTCATGAGTTTCTAGAATCCAAAGACGAAACCCATCACCTGCAGAAGGTGACAGGGAGCCTCTTCTCCAGGAGCTCCTCCTGACAAATGGAGCAGATGTCCTCCGGACCGATCTCCTTCTGCAGCATGGACCCGGTTCCTTCCGCCGCTGCATCGCGCCTTCCTGGCTGTGGGGTTGGAGCTCTGTGTATCCCCCGCAGCAAGTCATTTATTTCTCTTTCTGTAAGACCTAACTGGAAAGCAGCTAGTGAAAGACCCCAGAGCATTAAAATTCAGTGGCAAAACTGGAAATACAGAGATGCAATAGCCTATGCTGCAAGTTAGAATTTTCCTTCGAGTAGCAGGACAGTTTTAGTTGAGTTATACACTGACAGTGACCATTTTGCATTCCTTTCAGAGCCAAAAGGTCAGAAAAAAGTCACTTACAAAAAGAATGGAAATTATCTTTTTCTCCCCTAGTTACTGAAAGAAGTCAGCGCAGATAGTGCCTTACAAAGGTTTTGATATGATGGTATTCAATTCTGGATTGGTGTCATAATTCCTGGTCTACGCTGGTTCTACAGTTTGATTTGTTCATTTGTCCATAAGAAAATATTTTATCAACACACAAGAGTATTAAAGAACAGGGGCCCAAGTATGCCAAAGGGAAACGAGAATATCTGAACAGTGTAATTTCTATTTGTTAGATGAGGAAATGAAGAGGCATAGAGTGAGGCACCAAGAGTTAACTCATGGTGCCTCTTTTCCTGTTTCAGTTTTGTGCCCCTGCAGTGTCTCAGGAGCCATACTCTGCACAGATTTGGTCTGTGTTCCTCAGGACGCTCTGCTTGGCACTCTGTTGCCTGCACCCTTCTTGTCTCTGAATTCTTTCCGTCCTACTGTCCTTGTAAGAAATTGTATTCCACAGGCCAGTGGTTTTGACCAGAGCGTACTACATTCTTTATTCCCTGGCCCATCCCTAGGCTCCTCTCCCCTGCCCCTCTTCCCCATAGCTAACTGCTATGGGTCCCATGCATACTACTCCTCTTATACAGTCTTTAAAATATATAGGGTAAGAATTATTTGTGAGATAGTGAAAAGCTGCATTTTCCTGGAAAGGCCCCCAACCAAACACTGAGAACACTGGAACCTCAGCTAGTTACACTGTGTCCTGAACCCCCCACCGCTGGTCTGGGTGGCACGGCAGGTGGACTGTGGTAGGTGTCATGAATGATCATTACTTTGGGGAAGGAGGGCTCTTTGACACAGAAGCACCTGACATCTCCTCTCCAGAAAGAGGGGGACGACAATGAGGAGCAAAAGACTGCTTTGCCAACGCAGACGCTTGAGGGCAGCAGCAATGCTGAAGAACACAGCTCCCCACTGTGCAGAGACTGTTCTGTACGGTACATAGTAGGAAGTGGAAAATAAAAGGCAGGAACGAACTCTTCCGACACTGGTGTGGGAAGATTAAATGTATGGAACATTCGGAAGGAGGAGAGCAAAGCTGAGTCCCTGGCCTATCCACATTTTTGTTTTATTCAGTTGTTGGTGGGGTTTGTAATGCACCGAGGGACACGGAAACAGGAAAGGTCAGGCCTCAAAGGGCGGGCAGGAGGAGGTGCGAAGTGCAGGCCCTGGAGACTGAAGCTACACAAAACGGCACTGAGGGCCAAGGAAGGCTGAACAACAGTGAGAAGAACATGAGCGTGAGACAAGGTGAGGTGACAGGCAGGGTGCAGAGCAGTGAGGATCACGCGGAGGGCAGCAGACAGGAGAAGAGGACGTGAGGGAAAAGAATTCTAAACTTTGGAGCAGAAATAAAAAGGAAGGCCAAGAAACCGAGCTGGGTGTGGTAGTCCATGCCTGTAATCCCAGCACTAGGGGAGGCTGAGGCAGGAGGTCACAAGGTCAAGGTCAGTTTGAGCAGTTTACTGAGATCTCTGTCGAAGGAAGGAAGGAAAAAAGAAAGGAGAGAAAGAAAAAGAGAGAAAGGAATGGAGGAAAGAAGTCAGGAAGAAAAGAAAGGAAAGGAAGGAAAGGAAAGGAAAGAAAGGAAAAGGGCTAGGAGGTAGCTCAGTGCACTGAAAGGTCCTGGGTTCCATCCTCGGTACTGCAAAACAACAAAACAACCCCAAAACAACAACCCCCCCCACCAACAATTAAAAAGAACAAACAAAAATGGGGGTGAATTTGGGCTTTAATAGGTCCATGGGACCTCCAAATTGAGGTGTCTGACCTTAAAACTGAGCTATCTAAAACAACCCTGTCTTGCTTGGAGATACAAACACCAGGAAATGTTTTCGAAAGATTATGCAGAGAGAAAAGAAAACAAAAGGGAAATCCCTGTGAAAATAAAATACTAACCTTTCTAGTTTAACTTTTAAATATGTTTATATAACATTTGGGGAGATGAACTTGCCTAAATAGAATCTTTGAATTGAAAACTGATTATTACTATAATTCTTATGAATATTATGCATATTTATAATACATTTTAAAACGTAGTTCATTGATGGGTCTTGTATTGGTCCAACAACTCCTCAGTGGCAGGCAACACTTTGACAATAGTAGTATCTTTATTATCAAATGTACCTATTTAAATGACCTACAGTAGGACTATTTATCTTTTCTTTTTATTTTTGAGGACTCTGGGATTTGAAGTCTTACAATTACAATGCATGACTTTAAACAATTTAAGTACTGACATAAAACTATTACATTTTACTCTAGTAACTTTTTGTATAAAAACTTTTTGGATAAAATTATGTGCCATCATATTTCTGGGTTCTAAAAATTGCATTTAAAATTTTTCTCACTATTAAAACAATTTTTTTTTTTTTTTGGTACTGGGGATTGAACTCTGGTCCTTACTCTTGTGAGGCAGGCCACTGAACCACTGAGCTAAATCCCTGGCCCTAAAATAACTTTAAATACAGTAAGCACTGTGAAGCTTCACTCAGGATATGAGATACTGTTTTCTATCAAATAACTGGCCAGTGTTTTATTTCTGTTTTTAAGTGTTCTTGACTTTGAAAATGACATATCAAAGAAGTTCTTTTTTTAAATCAAAGAAGAAAAATGTTCAAACTTTTAGAAACTGGCTATAGATAGTTACTGTACTCTTGGAAAACAAACATCTAAAGACTATATTTAAATTTTAAAATTCAACAAATACAATATTAATTTCAAATTAGTAAAAATAAACACCAAAATAAAAACTTACATTCATGATTCCTAGGAAGCTTGAATTTTTTCAACAGGATCCTAATAGTCACAAGTAGAAAAAATGAAAACATTATATTTTACATAATATCAAAAGATATTTCTAAAAAATTTTAGAACAGAAATAGCATTATATAATTGTCACTATTAAGTGCTATGAAGAAAACTAAAACATAAATTTTCTATAATAGTTAAACTTATAGGTATTGATAGTACTTACTTTGATTTTCCTGGAAATGAAGTAAGCATCTAGCTATAGTACCAAGTGATATAACACTTTGATGTATAATAGAAAAATATTTTCAAATCTCACCAATTTTAAAAGTGGGAAATACATATTTAGTTATTTAAATATATTAAATATACTTTAGTGTATTAAAAGCTTGGACTATATTTCCATTTCATTGGTTTAAAATACAAAATTAGTTACATCACATTAAAATCAGAATTGAGTGCTGTTGCCCTATTATACAATAAAAATGGAAAAGCTTACTGAAATATGACGAGAACAAATTGTAAGATTTGAAAGAAGCATATTTTTATCTTTATGCAAACAGAACAAGAACCCATGTTAATAGATGCTTAATAAAAATCAACCAAATGAAATAACAAAAAACTTGGTAGGGAAAGGCATCAGAAAATAACAGATATATGATCCTGCTTTATACCTATAAAGAAAAGCATTAGAAACAACATAGTCTTTCCTAAATTTTTTGTTTCATTTTCCCTCAAATATCAATTATAAATTAATAACAATTTATATAATAAAGAATTTGCTGGTATGAGTATAGATAAGTAGTCAAAACTAAATGAACTGAGTTGGGGTTTTAAAGAAAATGGATCCTCTTTCTGAGGATTAATAAAAAGATCCTGACACTAAAGGAATAATTTCAAATTCCAGAAAAGTAATCTTCAAGAGAGACCTATTTCTATCTTGAAAAATTCATAGCAAAGTATTCATTGAAGAAAAAACATTGTGAAACTGTATTTATGTGGAAAACAGGAAACTAGAGTTCAAGAAAAAAAATTTGTTTAGAGATAGTTGTCGAAGCACAGTGATATCTCAAAATGAACCACAAAGTTATTATCATTGATGTGAATCTTGCATTTTCACACTTGATAGACTTCACATTTGTACGTACAATGAGAATGAATCTAAAGGTGGATGTTTTCATTTAAAAACATTAACTTCATAAAATGTTCCTCAATTTAAACTTTACTGTTTCCAGAGTAAAATGAAATACTAAAAATACATTGGTAAATTATGGTCATTTAAACTTAACATTACACCAACACTAAATTTCTTTGATCTTGTTGTGCTTAAACCAAGAAAAAGTAAAATATATAACCCATCAAGACGTGCCTTGGTGAAAGATCTTTGTTATAAACTTGAGTTATTTATAGAAAAGTGGATGCACATTGAGATCAAATGTTAAGGGTAATAAATCAGACACAGAAACTTAAATATCACACGGTTTCGCTTATGTGAGAAACCCACAATATAAATAAAGAGCAAAACAAGATAAATAATAAGCAGTAAGCAGCTAGGTCTTTTGCAAAAGGGAAGAGGATCCAGAGATGGAGGGTGAGGGTGGGAGAGGAAGGGAAAAGGATGAGCAAAGAATGAAGACGTGTTATGTGCTTGCACCACCTCTTGACGAGGAAGGCAATCATTACGTACTCAGCAAGTACGAATAACAATGAGACTTTCATGAAAAAAATCACACACCAGCATATATGCTTACAAAGCTCCCCTCCTTTCAGAAATGTGGAACAGTTACAGACATGGGGGTTTCCTAGGAAAACCTTTAAAAGGAAAAAAAAAAGCAGTGAGTGTTAGAGCACTAGCATTATATAGCTGATGTTAAATAATTTGATTAAAAGACACTTAGAGAAGCAATTTGGTTTAGGTGCGTGGGAGAAGAGCCTATTACTGGCCAGCCTATTGGGACATCTGACCTGGCACCTTCACCTTACTCTGATCTTTCACTTCCTTAGTCTTTGCCTCGTTTAAAAACCTGAATTATGAATTAAGACAGTTTTAAGGGATCTTTACTAAATGCAAATATATCTAAGTTTAAAAGCTGAAAAAACATGAAATCAAAGCTCTCAAAATGATGGGTCTTACTGTAAAGAACCCTGAAGTAGAGCTAGACACCTTTTCTAAGGTAGCTCACTTTGGGTTTTGTTTGTTTTGGATTTAAAATTTAATCTAATTCAAGAGGAGTACATTGGCTAACACGGTTTATTAAAGCTAGTGAGTTTTGTAAGCATCGAGGGGGAAAAAAACTGTTTGAAAAAAGCCCAGACAAGTAAATTGTATTCAGAACTCTAAAATATTTGGCACTAAATTAAAAATTTCCAAGTCAGCTTCATAGGAAGTGTGAGTAGTGGCTGATTTTTGCTGAGAATGGAATGTGTAAATATAAACTGTTCCTAGTCTTTCAGCAAAATTTTATTAAGAGCTTTCCAAGGCATCACCATTTAAACTTGCCTTTAATGGGGCCTTGTTATATTGTAAAGCAAAAGAAGCAAAGCTGATTTTGCTTATTGAGCAAATATTTACCGTCTGTAAATCTGTGGGTTTTCCTTTTTGTTTGATTTACTGGATTAGTGACTGCTAGAAATGGATTCAAGAATGCACATCATACAAACTACATGTTGACTGATATAAAACCTGATATTTTCAGCACTTAAAATCGAGGGACTATCTTTTCCCAAGAGCTTGGATACAACTGGAGCTCCCACTCTGCAACAAAGAAGCCTCCCTAATAGTCGCTATTTCTCTCGTGATGTGCGGTGTTGCATGTGGACAGGGGCTGGACGCCCTTCGGGCCAGAGGTGACCGGTATAGTTACTCGGAAATCCCCGTTCTCCGGCTCTTCCTCCCTCAGCAGGAAGCCGGTGGGACCCATCTCTCGCAGGAGATAGATGCTGCTGCCCAGCGCCTGGTCCTGCTGCCAGCTGAGGCAGTCGCTCGGGTGTCTTCGCCGCTCAGACGCCTTACGACCGCGGCGAAGCATCCTACCCCGGCTCCTGAGGAGGCGCCGGTGGGTCTCTATGGCGACGGCGTGGGCCGGTTG